AGAGCTCCCGAAAGGCAACTTCACTGCAGCACAATGTATAGGATATGATACGAAAAATAAACTTCAATTTTTGGGTAAAAAATGATAATTTCTTTTGTGATAATTCGTGTGCTTGGAGTCTAATATGAACCAAACAATCATATGTGTTATAAATACAGTTATTATTGGGACACAAATATTGGTAAAACAGGTTTCGGTCATCCACTCAATCACTGGCAATGATTGTCACTGACTGGCAATGGTTTACATTTTTATACAAATCCATTGAGACATCAAAGCCTAGCCATAGAGTCAGTGCTTAATATAGTCGTAATCTTTGGCGCACGTGTTGGTCACGAATGCATAATATGTAGCGATTGTGTCGATAAGTTGTCAGCATTTCATTTCCGTTTTGATGGTTTGCTACACTTTTTTGTCATACATTTTGTGCCAAAAATCACATCTCGAGTCCCACTCGAAGGTCAAGTGGAGAGCGGCGTCCAAACGAAACCGCATTATATTTAATATAATATTCTATCGACTGCTGGCATAAGCACTGAGCGATCGCCGATCGCGTGTGTCATTCATATGCTAATGGGAACTGTGGGTAAACCTACACCTGCACTGGAATCCCAGTCCCCCATTCATATGGAGTCTGGCGTTTAGTTAATATTATAGCGAAGCAAATAATCCCAAGTCTTTGCGCCTATGATTTGAGAGCATTAGTCGCCCGGATTGCTCTTTACTCGCCTTTCAATGCTTTATTTAACATCAAAAGCCTTATTAACTATAAACCGATTGATTCATAACTTTCTCTCTTTTTTATGTGTATCACAAATCACACTATCATTACTCCCGTAGAGCTCAAGCCTTCCGCAAAGGTTGTAACCTTTGGGTCGGGTTTTTAAACTAACATTATTTGAAATGCACTGTAAATCATACGAACAAACAGTAGTGACTATTTGTAGGCCTTTAAACAAACTATGTTTGACACCGACTTCGATATATTAATCAAATACACCAAAAATATAAACTAATTATATTTGTATTTACAATCCATTCAGCCTTTGAATTATGAACCTATTCTTAGCCATTAGAAACAAATTTTATTTTTTGTATTTTTACCACATTTATTGAAAATTAAATATTTGTTTATAAAGTTTGCCATAAAAATAGACACTTTTATGATTTATAAAAGAAATATTATTTTAGGCAATTAAATCACAGTAATAATAAACTGTCATAAATTTAATACAAAATAAACATTGCTATTGTAACATAACAAATATAATTTAGTTACATAAATAGTGGATGCTATGCATGAATACTATCTGAATATAAATGAATCATCAAAATTCAGGAAATATAGACCATTAATTAATAATTGCATTGTGAACATATAAAATGCAGCAATAATGAATCATTATTAATGATAAAATTAAAAATAACGTAATGTATTATTAATTAATAATTATCTAAATCACTAGCTGTTGATTATTAAATCCTACAAATAATCTCAAAACTATTCATATATCCAGACACTTTGAATAATCTCATGTTTAGGATAATAGAAACTATTCTCATTACAAAATCCAATTACAACAACAATTCTTATCTAACATTTCATATGTTTTATGACTATTCTGTGCTTTTCATATGTTATACTGTATGACCCATAGTAACAAGCAAATTGCAAACTGAGTGTCTGGACACGAATTATGGGCCGTTTTTAACGCCATTATAAGGAATAGTATTTCCAAGAAAAAGGGAAACCAGACCCACGGGGGGTCTGTTATGACCCCCACCTATGTCTATGCCTTTACATAATCGCAGCCCATATTGCCTTCTATTACATCACGAAATAATCGCATAAAACAACACACAGACTGTAATGCACTACAAAAATAATGTGATTTCACATGCATTTTGTTTTCATTATTAAATCGCTTAGATTTGCATTTAAAAACCCAAACCCAACGGTCAATACAATCAAAGTAAACATTTCTCAAACATCATCCAAATTGTGTGAAAACAATCTCATCGACAGTGTATACCAATTAATATGATCGGGGAAAGGGTTGTAGTTTGATATCATAAGAGGTACAGTATATGAGACCCAATACCTCCCAATAATACGTGAGTTAACGCAACTTTTAGCTATGCTTTGAATGCAAGGCGTTGTGTGGTTTTAATCCACTTTTTAACCCTTTTTAAATCACCACTTAATTTGAAACTATACTTAAGACAAGTGTTTACTTAAACCACTAATTGTGTGCCAATTGTAGACAACGGCGGACAGACATCCAGATCATGAAACTGGAGAAATTGGATGATATACTGGTTGTGGACAGGAATCGGTCGGATAGGATAGGACTGGAAGAGCCCCAGAAGATCGGGGAATACATCTATAGATCGGTCGGTGACAACAATCTCAAGTATCTTCACATACCATCGCCGGTATCGCTGGATTTGTTGGACGGGTACGACGAGGATATGACATACCATTCAAGTGGCGCCAACTCTAACAGTAAGATCAATCCGATGTTGCGATGGCTGTCCACCGACAAGAACCTCGATGACCGGCTCGAAGACACCGACTTCTTCACGAGTCGGTCGCTGTTGTCATACATAATGGCCTTTCCCTACGAGAGGGATCAGGCGCTGTCTGTATGCGCCACTAAAATGCGAGGCAATATCTACTTGGGTCCACACTATGGCTACAACCAATCGTCGGATCAGATCCACAACATCCAGTACTTCAACAAGTGTTCATTCAGTATCCAGCGATTCAAGCAATACGTGACGAGCAGTGATCCCGACAGACCTCCCGATCCCAACTTCTTTAACCCCGATTTCAAGACCTATTCCGCGGTCGTGAGCACCAGAATCCAGGATAAGTTCACCAACAGATTTGTCCATTCGTTGGTCTACACGTCGCCCGTCGACTGCATTGATGGCCATAAGGACTTGGATCCGGAATCGTTGGCCAACACCGTCGAGCTTAGAGTAATCAATGAGTTGCCGAAAGGGCGCCAAATTCAGGCCAACAAAACGCTGAAGTGGTGGACACAGGCCTTCCTCGGAGGCGTTTCCAGCATTTATTGCGGTCATCGAGACTACGAGTTTATGGTGAGACGAGTGGAACGGCTGGACGTCAATGGACTGCCCGTCGACGCCTTCTGGTCGACCAACGTTTGCCTTAACTTCTTAAACAATTTCCTGAATCACGTGAAAGAAGTGGTCACTACTGACGACCCGAATGTGGTTTACGTGTTCTCAATGCAGCCCAGGAAGCGCCACATCACGTGCACCCGCACTGAACCGGGCGATGAGTTTCAGGTGATTCCTGAATGGTTTCTCTATAAGTTTCCCTACCATTAGGCCGAGTGCCTGAACAGCAATGTGTGTTGAAAGTTGTATGCTGTATAAAACCAAAGTTGTATGTATGCTGTATTCACAGATTGTGAAATTACTTGAAATAAAAATCAAATTTGTATGTTAATCATATACTTGTTTGTTACTTTATTGAT